ATTTTTGGTAAAAAGTGATATTTTCGACTTCTTGTTAAAAACCGCAAGTCCAATTGCTTTGATATTAAATATATAGGTACTACATGTGAATCTCTCTCAGATTTGTTCATTTTGTAATGATATCTTCAATTCTCTAATTTTGATGAATATTTTTGTGATTTTTGGTAAAATGTGATATTTTCGACTTCTTGTAAAAAACCACAAGTCCAATTGCTTTTATATTGCCATAATAGGTACTACATGTGGACCTCTCTCAGATTTGTTCATTATGTAACGATATTTTTATTTCTCTAATTTTGGTGAATATTTTTGTCATTTTTGGTAAAAAGTGATATTTTCGACTACTTGTTAAAAACCGCAAGTCGAATTGCTTTGATATTACATATATAGGTACTACATGTGGACCTCTTTTAGATTTTTTAATTTTGTGGTGATATCTTCAAATATCTAATTTTGATGATAATTTGTCATTTTTGGTGAAAAGTGATATTTTTGAATTCTTGTTAAAAACAGCTAGTCTACATATTGTTCATTTTCTAATGATATCTTTTGTTCTTTAATTGAAATGTGCATTGCTAACAGCGGAGCTATCTCAGCCGAGAGGCTGCTTGTTTAATAATGTAATTAAATTTCTGAAATCTGTAAATCTCTCATTCATTTGAAAGGATTGTAGTTTGGTACAGTGTGCAGTATTTACATGTTATGTTGGACCATTAGATGTAAACGCAGCTACAGCAATAGAAGTGTCTGCTACACTCAAGAAATCAACTCTTATGGTAACTATCACAAATCTCTGTCACTATTTTGTTGTTTTATCAACAAACTAGATACACCACATTTCATAAAGTCATGAATGTTTTTTACATAAATATTTCTAAATGTTTCATGATAGTCAAATATTGGTTAAAAAAATAATTTAGCCAATCACAATGCAAAAATAGTTACTATGGCAACTGACTTGTCACAATTTCTTTTGTTACCTGCAATTGAATGATTCTATGTCAAACTGTAGTGACAATACTTCAATATAAACCAGTGAATAATCTATGTCAAACTGTAGTGACAATACTTCAATATAAACCAGTGAATAATCTATGTATTAGTGCAGGGGTTTCACAATAATAGCAGGCCATCATCCTGTAACAGCTTAGAAAGAACTCCTGTGTGCTGAGAGTATTGAAGACGCATTAACAATTAATTCAAAATTACTTGTACCTGAGATATTGATGGAAAAACTGAAAACTAATTATGTAAATCAGGTAATTATTATGAACAGAACAGAACAAAAAAATTATGAATTATTATGTTAATTAGAGAATAAGAACAAATTTTAACCCAAAATTAATCAGGCCTGTCTATTGTCCTAGAGCATTTATGGACCAAATTTTATTCAAATGTGATGATCAGTAATTGAGATATCAGTGTTAATTAATTATGTTAATTAGGTGATTAATAAGCACAAATATTTACTAAAAACTAATTGGGTCTCTGCATAGTTCTAGGTTCATTGAAGTGTGATGAGTACTCTTTAAAAGTTTCATTAAAACCCAATTCGTGTTTTTTTATATATCAGTCGAACATTCATAGAAACAATTAACTAATTATGCAAATTAGGTAATTAATATTCACAATTATTTACCCTAAAACTAATCAGGTCTCTGCATAGTCCTTTAATGATCTATGTAGCAAGTCTCATTGAAATATGATTAGTACTTGAGATATCAGGCAAAAAGCTAAAAATGAACTAATTATGCTAATAACGTAATTAATATGCACAAATATTTACCCAAAAACTAATCAGGGGTCTGTACAGTTCTTAAGTAACTATGTACCAAATTTCATTGAAATGTGATGATTACTGCTTGAAATATCAAAAGCTGAAAATTAATTAATTATGCAAATTAGGTAATTAATATGTACTTGTATTACCCTAAAAACTATCAGGTCTGTGCAGGGTCCTATGACATCTATGTACCAAGTTCCATTGAAATGTGATGATTAGTACTTGAGATATCAGTGGAAAAGCCGAAAATTGATTAATCATCATGCAAATTAGGTAATTAATATTGCACAGATTTTCACCCAAAACTAGTCAAATCTGTGCATTAGTTTGGAGCATCTATGTGCCAAGTTTCATCAAAATCCAATAAGTGGTTCTTTAGATATCAGTGGAACAGTCATGGAACAGCTAAAAATCAGCTAATTATCATGCAAATTGGATGATTATTATGCATGGATTTTTACCAAAACCTAATCAAATCTGCGCATTGGCCCAGAGCATCTATGCACAAAGTTTCATAAAAAAAAAAATGTATGGTTCTTGAGATATTGATGGAACAGACACACACACACACACAGACACAGATAGACACACTAACTGCAAAGACTCCCTTTTTGTGCTTCGCACACGGGAGTCAAAAAGGCTCTCAGCAGTGCGAGCCGCTGCAGTGAGACTGTCATAGGCATGGGGGGGGGGGGGTAAGACAGTAGACTGCCAATTTACAATTGTAGCTCGCCGGCTCTCAACGAAACCCTTGTGAGTGGGAAAATACAGATTCATGAGCGAGTCTTCTAGGATGAGTGCTTTATAAATCTCCATGAAAGCATTCATACCTAAATGTCAAACGTAATAGTTTTATCAAGTGGCATATACAATGATTGAAAATGGTTGCATTATTATTGATATAATTTGAATATGCATTTGTAAAATAATATATTGTATATCTTGTGTAGAAACTGAGCAGCAGTTCATTTGTAGATATAATCTCATTAGCTAATGTGTCTGTAGTGGTGACATCATTAGGACAGTTTATACAGCCAGCCAATCAACTACCAGATACAGTACAGGTAATTGTTTTCCTCCATTGTATTTTTAAATATTTATTTTAATTGTCTTTCGGCATTATTCAAACTTTGAAATAAATAATATACACGGGAAAAATAATTTTAAAAAAAGGCCAAAAGTAGAATGTTATACTAATGAGATTGGGTTTCTCTTCTCAATTCAGGTTGTGTCAACCATATTTCATTCATTGAACCAAGAGAAAAAGCAAGTTGCAGCATGGATCGTTATATTAAGCATTATTATCGGATTATTGGCATTGGGAATATTTATTGTAGGACTTTGGAAGGTATTTTATTTTTGTCTTTCAAATTTAATACATGTGTCAAGAAGTGATTTGTTGAGACATTGAATATTCAGTGTTAGTGGCTCGTGTTTTAGTGAGTGAAAACACATATGCATGTTTAGCACATCAATAGTACATGATTTCAGTTACTGATATTATCTCCATTACTGTTGGTTGGCAGTACATAATCTCAATCAGTTTAGTTGGTTACTGTTGGTTGATAGGACATGATCTCAATATGTTATAATAGGTTGATAGTATATGGTCTTACTACTTATCGGTAGTTACTGTCTAATGTTCAGAGTTTTTAATTTTACAAATAAACTAACATGACAAACCAACCAAAACAAATTACAATGTAGACAGAGTGTGGTGTATTGTAAACTTCACAATTCATTTACAGGTGGGTTTCTTTAAACGAAAAGAAAAAGAAGAACTCAGAAAATTATTAGATGCCAGAGATGAGGGTGAAGTATCAGACTGGAAACTACCAAGTGAGATTGAAAACTAATATGGAATAAATTCGGAACAACCAGTACACGAGTAAGAAAATGTGAACCCAGTAATTAGTAACAATGGGTCACTGTGAACCAATCGGTACAAGTTATTTTTAGTTGTCCCAAATATTGAAGATCAAAATTGTCAGTATTTATGAAATTATTTACATACATTATATGTCAATAAAAATATATTTACAATTATTAACACAAAGAAAACAAATAATTGCCTTAGTTATCAAGTTTAAGAAATAGTTTTGTATATCAAAATTTAGTTTGGATATGAAAGGACATATCAGATGGATTCAGAAATGAATTTATTAAAACAAAATGGCCAGTAGTGAGCTATTTTAAAATTGTTCTGAAAAACATCAAGGTCCCATAATGTCCAATGTATGTATCAAGTTTGAATGAAATGAGTCCAAACACGACAGAAATGCTAAATTTTGATGAATTATTAGCACAAAAATGGCTGCCATTCAGCCATCTTGAATAGAATCATGAAATAAATGTATGTGCATACATGTATGTCACCCAAAGATATGTGATGTATTTGTGATCGGACTAGGCATGTCTGAGATACAGGTGGAGATACATGGACACAAGCAGAGAGGTCAAAATATGAGTGAATAGTGAAACATACTAAATATATCTATTTTCAATCAATATTTTATTACATATGATACACAGTATAAAACAAACAATGATTTAAATGTTATGTTTAAAAAAAATTCGACACAGACAAATTATAATGTACAAATTTGGCAGTGAAAAATTACAACTAAATATACAAGCAGCCTCTCGGCTGAGATAGCTCCGCTGTTAGCAATGCACATTTCAATTAAAGAACAGAAGATATCATTAGAAAATGAACAATATGTATAGTATCAAGCAATAGGACCAAAAATATTCATCAAAATTAGAGAATTAAAGATATCATTACAAAATGAACAAATCTGAGAGAAGTCCACAT